AGGAGAAACCTGATGTCACTTATGGCGATGTTGGCGGCTGCAAAGAACAAATTGAGAAACTTAAAGAAGTCGTAGAAACACCATTACTCCATGTAAGCAAGAAATTACTAGTGTACAGTGCAGAACTTCTCTCTCTCTCTCTCTCTTTGTCTCTCTTTGTCTCTCTCTCTAGCCTGAAAAGTTTGTTAAATTAGGTATAGAGCCGCCAAAAGGCGTCCTATTATTCGGTCCACCTGGTACCGGTAAGACCCTGTGTGCTCGTGCAGTTGCTAACAGAACTGATGCTTGTTTCATACGGGTCATTGGGTCAGAACTAGTTCAGAAATACGTCGGAGAGGTACAGTAATACCCTGTCATGTGATATCATATAGTGCTTTACTTTTATGAAGCAAAACTTTAGTGTAAAAATGAGTTTTTTATTGAAATATTGTTCTTACATGTATATAACATTAATATGTATTGTACACACTACACTGTCTACGTATCTTGATTTCCCGCCTTTTTTATTATTCAAAGGGCGCCAGGATGGTGAGGGAGCTATTCGAAATGGCTCGTACCAAAAAAGCCTGCATCATATTCTTTGATGAGATTGATGCCATTGGAGGTCAGTGATTCTAATTAATGCCCCATATTCTAATTAATGCCCATCATTAATGGAGCAATAGAATGTATGCTATGTTACTCGGTTGCTAGTAATGGTCCATGTAATTGCTTATAGCTTCAAGTTATGCTAGTTTTTGTAATTATATATCAAAGTTTGGTAATCATCATTCTGTCTCTATTACAGTATTTGTCAGTATAGCCTATAGCTACGTTGCACATGTATGTATGTACAGCACATGTACATGTGAGTGTGTGTGACTCTTTCTCGTCTGATAATGTGTTCCATTAGCACTTGTTATCATTACTATCACTCTCCTACATGCATAGCCCCAGGGAGTTATCTCCTATTAGTGCACTATATCTAGTATCAGTACCAGCCTATGTTCTGGAGTAGTTGCTTTGTTATTCATAGTAGGTTAATGACCAGTAATGGTCAGTATTTGACAATGGCCAGGAGAGAATTTTTATTGGAATATCTGATGCATATACATGTTCTTATGTTGTGTAGAAAGTTTGAGCTGATTCCGATCAAAATTGGATTTTTTACGAATTTTTGAAGTTGCTCCAAAATTGAGCCAAAGTCCCTGTACTATAGTACAGGGATTTTGGCCAAATTTTGCCAAAAATGACTAGGAGAGAATTCTTCATTTTTATGATTTTATCTGATACATATACATGTTCTTATGTTGTGTAGAAAGTTTGAACTGATTCCAATCAAAATTAGATTTTTTACGAACTTTTAAAAGTCATTCCAATGAATGAGAATTTGCATTAATCTTGCGCTTGTTCTAGTGGGTGTGGTCTCAACCCGAGGGATGTGACATGAGATTGTCTGGTGATTTATAATGCTTGACCTACTGACTGTCTGGTATTTACATTAGCTTCTAATTATACACATGTAGATGTATCAAATTTTAATTTTAATATAATATTACATGTACTTAATTTTAACAGGGACCAGATACAGTGATGGAGATGGGAGTAGCAATGAAGTCCAGCGGACTATGCTTGAGCTGATAAACCAGTTGGACGGGTTTGAGCCTAGGGGTAACATCAAAGTACTAATGGCCACCAACAGGTACAGATAATGGTGAATTTTACATGTACT